CTCTGAGTATCTTTCGCGCCAAGCCAGTCGGCGTTCGAACGGAATCGTAGGTATGCATCACCGCGAGAGTTGCAACCTGGAATAATCGGAATGCAGATGGCTGGTGTATCTCGCCGACTGTTGTACACGCGCGCAGGTGTGGTAAGTCAGATTCGCGCAGAAGCTCAACTGTCACACGTCGCATCCACTCTGTCCAATCCTCCGATGTAAGAAGTGCGTTAATTTCGAAAGTCCAGTCAGCGGGCACTATTGAGGGACTCCGGGGCAACGCTGCCATGTCTAATCCTTCTGGCGGTTGTCTATTTGATAATCTGCAGGTGGCCATATCAAGAATGATTTCGTCGTATGCACCATCCAAAACATACAGAAGCCTCTTTGACAGAGGCGGCACATCGCCCATGGCGATTGCACGCACCATTCCACAATATTCAGCAATGGCTACGGCGGCACTGTGGACTCTGACTGCTGGGGAGATTCTGCTTGTAGAACAGACCAAAAATGACTCAGTAAGGGCAGATCGCAGTGTTCCTGTTGTATTCTCAAATAGCTTGAGCCATGCAGTCAAAGCAGAGCTTATGGATGCTACATAGGGCATGAATCGCAATCCAAGATGTTTAGCTGCGACCACCAAGCCGCCTATCATAATTTCCAAAAATAAATAATCATCGTTAATGAATTCGAGAGTACCATGAATCTGAGTAACCCTGCGTGGGTTGATCAAATCAATTAGTCTAAAGAGAAAGGATGGAATTATTTGCGACAATCCCGATGAGCTTGTCATCCGATGAATGAGTCGGAGGGCGCAGATCATCATCAAGCATTGTGTGCCAGGAAAGCGGTGATAATGGAATACGCTACGACACATAAGGAAAGATAGGACAGTTTGTAGCTGTTCACTTGAAGCAATCGTTTCAGAAAGTAAATCTGTCGAACGTGCCACGCGGAACGGACTACATTCAACTTGACCCAGCATGGGTGGCAGCACACGTGACAAGAGGGCCGAAAATAAATGCCTCCGCATTTTCAGCTTCAGTACAATGACCACGGCAATAATCCCACCCCCACCAGATATCGAGCAGGACCAATGATGGGCAAGTGCACGTGTCACACGATCGAGTTGGCAACTGCGGGCAACCAGGCTCGGTGCGGCACGAGACAAAATTTGGCTCAAACTTTGCAGGAGCATTTCACTGGTAAGGTTGGCGCTACCGATGACGAGGGGGTTTAGATTACCACCTGGAGCGGCCACAAGCATGCTCATCAGATAATTGATGGCGGTGCCGAGGGACAGAGAACTATGATGGAACGTGCGGCACACTTGTACCAGCGCAAGAAGTGCTTGTTTTTTCAGCTCAGGGGATTTACTCATCATACCCAGCACAGTGTTGAATGAAGCTTGTTGGCAGTGTTCTTCTATGGATAGCATGTGATGTTGCTTGAAGATACCATGCTCCATACTAATAATGAACGGATGTATTCTCGAGCCTGTATCCGATCTGAAGATAAGGCCACCCTTAAAGCTGGAATCAGCCCAAAAATTGACGTTTTGCTGAATCGAACTATGCAGCTGTCGGACATCAGCTGAGATGCACATTGTGGCTCTGTCATGTCGCATTTGACTAACCATGTATGGAGAAATTGCACCTAGACTCCCAAGTAGGGTGGAACAGTCTGTTTCTGTAGACCACGGAGTGATACTGTTTCCACAAGACGTCAACTAGCTGACCACAACGCCAGCAGACTGGTGTCGCAACTGCCCCAGTTGAGTTTACAACTTGGGCCAACGCCCGGACAAGCGCACGTTCACCACCCTCTAATGTTGAAGGTTTGTGACACAGAAGGTCAACCATTCGAGGTAATGCGCCCTCTACCAACGCAAAGCTCTGCGCACTGACGACCGCAGATAAATCCCCAATGATTTCTGCGGCAAGTTTCGCTACATGACGTGACTTGGTGATCTGGAAAAGCTCAAGTACAGGTATGAGGAGTGGCGTGGCATGCTGGCCAACTGCAGTCCCGCTTTTGACAGAAGCAAAGTGAGCATACTCTAATGCGTTCGCAAGTGAACGTTCGCTTCGGCTTGAGAATGCGCTGCACGCTGGTGAGCAGAGCGCAACCTGCTGGGGATTTGCGTGCTCTAGCTTTATGGTTGGCATTGCCACTCCAACAAAGGTGTTCAGGAATGTAGACACTGTAAATAAGTCATGTGCTGGGTGGCTGGCAAGGATCTGCCCACCAACTTGTTTCACTTGCAACTCGCACCTGCTCAGGAAGCGATAGAAAATGCCCAACAATCTCGGACTTGATGTTGTCTCTATTTTGCAAATTGACGAAAGTTTGGATGCAATCATGCTGCGAATGTGAACACAGGCGTCTGCCGATGCAATCCAAATTAAGCGCTCTATCATAGTGCCGATCTCAGCGTTCAGTGCCTTGGCACTATCAATGGCTAGTTCTAGACACCTAAAACACAATAGTGCAATTTCGTAGCGGAAAGCTGCGTCGGCCAATCCAAAGCCGCCAACAATTGTAGATGCAATTGCACGGTACATGTAATTGTGAATGGAGCACTCCAATATCCCAAGGGCGCGAAAAGACATGCCATAGGTGAGGTAGAACCTACGGTGCTCTGACTTAGCCTCCATACGGTGCTCTAATTTGCAGGTAGGTTGCACAATCCCTTCATTTATTGTCAGTATTTCAGTTGACACATTGTGTATGACAAGCATGAGTTCGGAGAAAATACACTGCTGTAAGGCTTCTGAAAGAGCTGGAAGCGTTTCGAAGATGATTGTGGCAATGTAGACGACGCTTGGGCTGAAAGTCTTGTCGAAGATGGATGGTAGGCTTAGAGTGATTTGATGCGTTATGCTATGGCTTAGTGAAGTATGGAAATAGCTTGTACTTTTTATGACCATCGCTAAGCATAACACAATTTCATTATAGCAATGTACACTCATGTTCTCCGCATTGAGGCGGCAGATGACGGCGCTGGTGATATTTTCCAACACTGATGAGTCTTTAACCGACCTCAGGAGGAAGGAGCTTGCAACTACCATCGATAGTCGGCCGAGCGCTAGGTAGCCAACTCTGCTCTCTGCGCCCATTCTCAATGTGCCTAGAATGGCCTTGGCCGCCTCGGAGCGCGGGAGTAAAGGCTCTCGAACGAAGAGAGAGAGTAATGGAATCGTCTCAAGAGCAATGGCTTGTACAGCACCATCCTTGGCGCCTGCTCCACGGGTACTAAGCAAAGCATGACACCACGAGGCTTGTTCAGAATCACTTAAGTGGAGCATTGGCCAAGAGAGGGTTGGTCGATAAGAATGGCGCATACAGGAAGAAACATGCTTAAGCACCATACGAAGCAGGAGAACTGCAGCGTGGATTTGACTTCTGGAAGCATCCCCCGTCAATCCTAGAGAGATGAGACCCGTTGCTGCCTTGTAGAGCTGAATAACCTGGCCGTCGCCTTGACGCAGCTGTGAGTTTTGAAGTATGCCTGAAGTAGCAAGCGATGCCGCCTCCCGTACGACAAGGGAACTATCAATTAGAGCAGACCAAAGGCGTTCCAGGAGTATACTGAAGTCACGAACACCGTAGATCATAGTAGGTGCACTGGAAAGGAATTGAAACAGGATGAGTGCTCCCGCATACCGCCTGATTTCGTAGCGAGGATCAACCAACCAATCTAACGCTGGCACTAGATATCTTATAACAAGTAAGTCAACCTCTGGCTTCAACACTGCAGTAGCTGAAAGCTTTCCCAGAAGTGCCGAAGCGGCACCGACGCTTTGAGTATCATAATCAGATGCGCGGTCCGCCTCCAGCACATCATACAACAAGTTCAATGCGCCAACCCGCCCTTCGACGCTTCGATATACTTCGACTTCGAACATTGATCTCAACATACCGAGCCCAATCAAACGGTCACGTCTCAGTGATTTTACAACACACGCGTGACTAAAGTCTGCTAGGCGAGTCAGCATCAAGATACGGTCTGAATTATCTAATCCCCGAGCGATCGTGGTGATCAGCGAACGCAGCTGTCGCGAGCCAAGAGCACGAAATTTCAGCGCGTTAGCACCTAGCTGCCGAACAACTCTAACAAACCTCTCGATGCATTCTTTTTCAGTTGCCATTTGCCCGCGGATAATATCATCCGACCCAGCTATCATTCAGGGTAGTGGAAATGCGCCTACACGCCACGCTGCACAAGCCTCACTTAAAGGGCAGCATCTTCCCCTCATCTAGGTGGATGTTGGCGCGTTGTTTGATCAGAGGAGAGATCGAGCCAAACCTAGGCCCCCATACAACCTTTTGAAAAAGGAAACTATGTTGGAACTAAGTTACTTGGAACCAATAAATGTGGCGGGTTATTTGCTAATTTTTTTTCTCATGCACTGAAGACTTTGTCACGGAAATCCGCGGTCCAAACCGGCCGGGGTTCCTGCACCTGGGCGTCTCCAGTGCCAGCCAATTGAAAAGGCGCGTCATCCTGGCCACTCTTATGGCAATCACGGATGAGCTTGTCAGCAGGATGAGTGTAGTGGGTGAGAGAGGGGAAGCTCAGTGTGCTACCTTATGGTAGCGCAGTCATCATATAGTAACTGATTATAAAGGGGGGGAACGGGAAGGAGAGCCTAACTAGGGTAGGTACAGTACTAGCATGATGGTAGTAAGGTAGTAGTAGAGTAGCGTACTGTAGCCTAGTATAATCATTGAGATAGAGAGATAGAGAGAGACAGAGAGATAGCAAGGTCAGTCTGTATTCTTTGCATCGTTGCTCTTCACCTTGTACTTCAATATGCTCACTTTATCTAAGTAGTCGGTGACTCGGATCTACTAGTAGGATCCCGGCTACACTCTTCTATATTTGTGCGCCTGGAGCGCACCCAGGAAAAGCTTCTCCTATCCAGCCGGCCCTATTCTTTTCCTGGGGGTCCTAGACTAGGCCGGTCCCCGAGCTGGGTGTGCCCAGCCCCTAATCCAACTATTATTATCCTATATCATTCTATATCTTGTATCTCAGAGTGGAGGTCGAGGGTCGACTGCGCGCGCGAATTGAGTGGCCGCTCGAATGTAGAATTGAGTGGCCACAGGGTCGAACCGGGGAAACGCGTCCCTCCGTGAGCGCACTGCGCGCCCCCAAAGCCTTCGCGGCGCCCGAGGGCGAGCTGAGTGAACTCTTTAAAACCTGGGATTATTCCGGATGGTGCACGGATTCGGGCCTGTTCGTGAAGGCCCGTCGGAGACGCCAACGTTTATATCGCAGCCCAGGAAGCAGCCCCGACTAGCCCTCTTGGGTGATGCAATCTGTGCAACGCCACGAGGGTCGCCTAAGCCAGCTAGACACACTGCGCTCCTGAGGACTCAAGTGCCATTCCCTGGTAATTACAGTGACATAAGCCTACTAACTACAGAAGGGATTGGGGGAAGAGAAGCTTACGCGGGAAAAGAATGGCACTTCCAATCCGAAGACAAGGATTTACATTTCGCACAAACCGTGTTGGACCGGCTCATTCCACTTGAAGAAAGGATAACTCACCAAAAAACGCCGGTGTCACTCCTTCTCAATGCGGTGCGCCGTGGCATTGACCTCGCCAAAGTACCGACTGTATCGGACCGTCCTATGAGGGGGCACTTGGAACTATCCATAGAACCTTCAACTCTTTTTATTCGTCCAGCAGTGCATCGCGGAATGCATCAAGAGCCGCCCACACCAAAGGTTGCCACTTTATCCATGGCAGCCCTGGCGTTTGAACGGGGAACTGAAGATCTCGATGATGGAGAAGTTTTACCAGAGCTAGAGGCTTCTCAAAATATAGTTATTGATTGCTCTGAGAGTCCGACGACAGCAGCAGAGTACTCACTCTCTCCACCATCAGACCAGGAAAAGGTCGACGAGGAGGACTTCCAAACGCCACCCAAAAAATCGAATATGAATGTGCAGTCATCCCCAGTGATAATTGAGTCTGCTATATTGATGTCTCCTCCTCTCCCAGAGGAAGGGAAATCAAACCTGTCGATAATAAAAGAGGAACATGTGCTCGGCAGAAGAGAAGATCTAATTTTGCATCGAGAGCCTCCTGTAAGCTCAGCATCTGGATCTGAATCTGAGGATCTGCAGTATAGTGATCTGCCTGTACTCGTTGCCGTGCCCGACCACACCATGGCGGCAGAAATACCAGGACCGAGCAGCGGAGCGCAAAGCGAATCAGCTTCGCAGGTGTCCGGGTGCGTGCCTCAATCCAGCAAGCTTGAGTCTGAGGCTCGATCTAGCAAAGCCATACGTCTTAAAGCGGCAGCACGGCGTGCCAAAGCTGAGTTGCGAGCTGTTGCAGCGGCCGCTACGAGAAATGCACATAGTGAAGACGACCCTGAGCGCCTTATCTTTTTGGGAATAGGAGTCGAACATGACAAATTGGTTGTGCGGCCGCCTCTTATAAGGGCGTCACTTGATGTTGCCACAAGTGTAATTAACGTAATTCCTGATGCGGCCGAGTGGGCAACTCAGGTCTTCACCCAAGCCAAAGGTTCTTATGAAGGTGGCTACTGGCAACATTGTGTACTAGCTTGCTCCGCGATCATTACATCAGCAGTCTCAACGTATGTAACCCCTGCATTAGAGCTTCGTGCTGCCTGTTGGCTGAAGCTCCGGGTTTGGCATCAACTTATTGCGGACTGCACATTGACCGTGCAACGCCGTGGCGTCGCAACCCTATCACTATCATGGGCGTATGCACGACGCGCACATGCGAGGCTAAATCTGAGCAATGCCATGCTGGTGACTGGTCTTACGGACCGCGATGCCAATGAGCAAGCTAGGTTCGCCCTCATAGATGCAAAGCTTGGACGGAAATGCGATGGGGCAGTAACTGAAAAGTTTCGTGTAGGAGGTGGCATCAGCTTCGATGATGACCCAAATTTGCTTCGCGCTGGTGTTTTTCGAGGCCTCAATCAAGTATCTAGCGCTCGTATAGAGCTCGAAGCTGCGATGAAGACGCGACCACGTGATTGGCGACTGCTTTGGTCCCTTGGAGATTTGCTCGTGGACGAGGCGGGAATTAATTGCGTATTGTTGCAACCATCAATGTGCCTGGAAAACCAAATGATGCCATTGGATCTACAGACACATGCAGACACGGGCACTCGAACAAAGCAATCGACTAGCCTCAAAAATGCATCTAACTTGGTTTTCAAAGCGTTCGTTATCGCAGTTGAGACCAAAATGCTTCGGCATGTACCTCTCAACCTCATGATACGCTATGGCAATATCCTGCTAGCTCGGCTTTATATGAATCGTGCCAAGCTGCAGCGACCCAGGACTCCACAGGAATCCCCTATTCCACAGCAAGATCAAGATGAGATCTTGAAGCAAGTGTCTGATCTGCGCCGCATTTCGAGATCAATACTCGAAGGCGAGAATTTAAAATGCCACGAATCAGCATCCCACGTGGCTGCACTCTCGGCAACAGCAATCCTTCAGGCGCGTAGTTATGGTCACCACGTGATTTGAAGTGCCATGTTACAGGTAGCGCGCATACTGTTCAGCACGAACTGCTTCGATGGGGCTGAAGTTGAGGCTACAGAAGCGATTAATCTTTTTTCATTGGCCCACAAATCCAAGCCACGTATTCGGTCAGTACAGCAACGATCTGAAGCATTGGCACACACCCTCCTTGCTATGGCACAGACAATAAATGAACGCCAGCAGACTGGGGTTCAAAAACGCGCTGTTTCAGACCAAGGGCCATTCCCTGATAATCAGAAGTTGTTTGTTGCAAACCACCGGATTGAAACTGCCTTGATCCTCGATCCGTATAGTTTCGATGCCAATTTCGCCCGTGCCGATCTCCGAGGAGCTAGCGGCAATATAGCTGGTGCGCTCCGAGATCTCTATAACGCGTCTACGCAACTGACACCATTTCCGGAGGCGCAAATAGCGCGTGCTGCAATATTTATTGATCACATGCATGACTTTGAGTCTGGAATGTGCGCTGCCAGAAAGGCCCAGGTTGTATGCATCGTCCCTTGACATTTCATACGCCCTGAATTTGCAGCTAAGCGGCCTTCGTCATTGTATTATAGGCAATCGCGTCGCCAAGCGACCTGCGGGCTAGGCTTCTACTCGCAACTTGCTATGCACATCGAGGCGACTGGCACGGATGTACGCGCCAATACAGCCACCTCTGCCACACATTCCCTGCATCTGCAACTTTACATCGGCTTCGAGGTATTGCACATGAGTTTTGACTTTGGGCGCTTGGTGGAAACTTGCAAGGTTGTTAGGTTACTCCACATCAAGACTCGGAAGACTCGCCACGATGCATGTCGCTGCAAATGCTGTTGAGAGCTTTATTTTTTTCTCCAATCAAGCTACTGATGCTGTCTGCCTCAATACTGCTGGCAGTGTCGCTCGCGGTTCTGATGCTATGGTTCAAAGCACGCGGGCACATGGGTGGATAGGTCAGCTCGAACTCGCCCGCAATCACCCCCTGAAGGCTGCTGCCGCATTCGAGCAGGCACTTCCCAAGAGCTTTGCCACACTGGATCATTGGCATGAGCCAGATTTAGCCTGGTATAACGAGCATCTGGTGCATGATGCGGTACCGAGTGTCCGAAACCGACATTGCGCGATGATGGGCCTGGTAGAGACTTCGCTCCTCGCCGGGAAGTTTCAACGAGCATTATGTTTTTTAAATATCACCGATCAGACTTCTAGTGATATCGATACGGAGCAAAGGGCACGCATTTATCATCTTCGTGCGAGAGCCTACGCGGGATTGGGTCATTCAGCAGCTGCACTCAAATCATTTTCAAATGCAATCACAGCATACACGGCTATATTACAGTCTCAATGCTTGCCGACTGATGCAAGAATTGTCGCATACGACCTAGCTGATCGGCACAGACGCCCTCAGCGGTCTAAAAGAATCATAAAATCGAACAGCCTTGCTGCTTGCATGTCGCTTTCTACCGCACAGCTTGGAAGGGCCCTGGTATATTACCACCTGTCAATTTTCAGAGTAGCTATGAGGCTCAAGCTTGAAAAGAAAACAGCCAATGGTACGCCACAGATCCGGGAACCACTCCCATTAGAGACAAGAGTGACCAATGCTCAATCACACCCTGAAAATAATTTAATGCAGGTCGGAATACCGAATGCAAATCACAACGCTCTCTGCTCGACCGTTCCCTTTTTATTGCACGACGAACAAGACTCACCTGCGATCGAGTCCACGGAAACAACCAGCCTGCAGTTAACAAGTGAGGAGCCTGCTTTAGTCAACCTCTCTCGGGAAGGTGCGCGCCATAGTGAAGCTCTTGGCTTGCTAAATATTGAAGAGATCAGCGAGGCTATCAAGCAAAACCCCACTCTCATAAGTGCTCGCCTCACACGCGCCGCATTACACATCGCAGGAGGTAACTTTGCTCTAGCTTTTGCTGATTTTGATGCAGTGTTGCACATCGAACCACTTTGCACGAGGGCTTATGTGAATCGTGCGGTTCTCTTTTTCCAGCTGGGTAAAAATACTGTCGAGGCTTTGACCAACCTGAACGAGGCGATTGCGATGAATGAGGTGCCAAGATTTTCCTTGAATTCTTCCCTGGTGGGTCGGGCTGAGGTGACGATGCTAGCATTGGCCCTGTGCGTTTAGCGTAATCAGTGATATCTGAGAAGTTTTGGTATGTCAAGATTCTAGGTACAATCGTGGTATCTGTTATGCGATGGCATCCGACTTTTGGAGTGCGAGGTCTGATTTCTCACGGACGGTTGCGTTATTACGTCCATTGCTGAGTTGTGACACAGAACCAGGCTCTACTATCATCGGTGGCGAGTCTGGAGGACTGCATAAATGTAAAAACATGCGACAACGAGCAGGTTCTCAAGTTTTGGCTTCTGCGTTCGTGACCGTGTTTTCTTGATAAGAGCCCTGCGTCATCACTTGCTTCGCACTCAGGCTTCTCAATCGCACGATAGTTGGTGCTTGGAATAGCACATTTTCCCATCAGTCACTGTGCGACGTTGATGAAGCTTTGGCAGTCGAACTAGGACTGGGAAAAGTTGAAGTTGCGGAATCGCCTGCGGACTCAGATATCTACACGCTTCCGACTCTCGGTCAAGTCAGTCCAGATGACTGTCTCTGGGATCGACGCACACTCAACGGGCCATTCGGGAGATTCTCAATTGCGAGTAAAGCACGCAAGAAAAGTAATCGTTCGGTGATACTATCATTGCAACGAGGATTGATATATTTCCACCTGGGCCACTGGACGAAATCTGCAACAATGTCTGTACTGTATTATCACAAGCTTCCTCCTGTGATGTAAATGCGTCAGGTACGTTCAAGTTCTTGCTCTCGCTCGGAAGACCCTGACCTTCGATCAGCTTGCGGTGACATTCAGCGGCCTTGGTCTGTCCCTCCACAAACTTTCTGATGAGATTGAACAAAACTCTTCTCCTACGCTAAACCCGGATTCATCGATGCTGCATTGGAAAGCACGTGTGACAAGACTGTGTACTTGGAAACATTATCTTCGTCTTTGGCCTGATATGCTCCGCTCCTGGGTCAAGGGAAGTGCCGCGCGTGATGAGGCCCTTTCTCACAGTGTCATTTGATCTCAAAACCTGACGACCATGACCCTACCAGGTAGCTTTTGTTGCAAAGCAGGCGCTTTTACATGGCATCCACACTAACCCTACATCACCGACGCTGCGTTTTAATCTTGCCATGCTCAATGAGGTGAAGCGGGGCACACCAATCAAACGAAGGCAGCTTATCGCGAGTGTGCAGCTAGACCACACACACATACTCGCCAGGGCGGCTATTGCGGCGGACGAGAGTGACGGTGGCAATAGCTTTGGGTCAGAGTTGCAGCTCGTCGACGCTCTCTATAGCCTTCGATCCCTTCGCTGGCAGATTCGGAACACGTCTGAACTTGGTTTTCAGGCCTTGTTGTCGCATTTCTCCGCCCAGCGTATTCTCATTCTCACGAACATTGCTGTTCTCCACCAGCGACGTGGGGAAAGCAAAACAGCCAAAGCTCGGTATCAACAAGTCAGGGAGCTTAGTTCGCATCTTTTAGGAGGCCACAGACAGCTTCTTGTTCACGCACGATGGTGTGAGGTGACGAACAGCCTTGCTGATCTGACCAATCGTAGTGGAAACATCCAGGGGAAACCAATGCATTCAAACAGCGGGGACATGAATTCAGGGCACTCACTACATTGCGATATGGAAGTATCAAAATATCCGTGTCTTCGAGATTTGGAAACATCATGAAGTCTTACCTTTCGCACAGGCACTTGCGCTTCAAGTCCAGCCTGGATCCATAAATACTAGCGTCTCAAAATGGGACCCTGTTCTCATGTCTTCGTGGCTGGCACGTATTGCCCTAGGTTCAGTAGCTTTGTTGCAATGTAATTTTGACCACGCGTGTGATATCCTTAAACATATTTGCAAAGAGGCCAGTTTTGAGCATCGCTTCTTGCCCGCCTGGCTTCCGTGTGAGGCTATAGCGGCCCTAGCCTGGGCAAATTACGCCACAGCAATTATTGGAATTGACTCCACAAGGGACCAACACGAGGTGGTCCCTCTTCTTGGCTCAAGCCTAAGGCAGCTCCCATGTTACTCGCTATTGCATCAGCAACTCGCCAGCTGCCTGTTGCGCGAGGGGAATTTCTCCCACGCCATGTGCGCAATGCACTGCGCATTGTGCTTTTGATTTACATTAGCAAGTCCTGTCCCTTGTGGGCTACCTCGAGGGTGCGGACATGCGACTCTCTCGAGAATCCAGCCTGAATGCTGTGCTCTGCTTCTTCTATCCTAATCGCGGGCATACACCGACTCTTCGTGCTACTTTTAGACTGCCCCAGACTCGCTTTTCCACCACCATTTAGAATGGACCGGTGCAAGGCTCATAGCTTGCGTTTGAGTCCCGTGACAGCTACGAACGGCCAAGGCGCGACCTGGACTATTTTACGGCACAACATAATCACCCTGAGCTTACTCTCATCTGGACTAGCTCCCTATTCCGGACCCCAAGGTTTCCCTAGCCACAAGGCGAGCGGGACCTGACTGGCAAAGTGGACTGAAATTGCCTTTACGGCGGTAATATATATTTCCGGTAACGAGCTAGTGAGATAGATCACCTAATTAGTGAAGCGCTCCAACCATTGGAAGAGTCTAATGATTTTGATGGGCCACCTTGAGACTGCAATCGCCCAACTTGATCATATGAGTAGAGTGGCTGTGGATAAGCCGTCGCCGATTATCGATGGTTTACTCTGGTGGATCCTGCTCGCCGAGGTGGCCGCGCATCCCAAGCGTGGTTCGTTGGCCTCCGCTCAGGGCATTTATAATCAATGGGGCCCGACTTCTCCTTTGTCTTCCTTAAATTATCAGCCTAATGGGGGCCACGAAAGGCCAAGCGGACGGATGTCCACACGCCGAGCTTCCTTTCTGAATATGATATCTCGGAGAGCAGCGATACTATAGTATCATCATCCAGCCAAATGTAACTGCTGGCTGTGGTGGTCCTCGCCCAGCTCGCCGCTTCCCCGGGCCCCGGGATGGCGCGGCTTATTTTTTGAGCCCGCCCACCACCCTCCTTCGGCACTGGCACGGATGAAGCACCCCCCCTGCCGCAGTGCCCTACCCTCCTCCGTCCGAGTCCCTGCTGAGGTGGCTGCGCCATCCAAGCGCAGTCCGCCGGCCTTCATTCTGGCATTCTCAATTCAATCGAGCTCAGCCTCCCTTCGAGGGGGGAGTTTAAGTGGCTTCCTTTAGCTTCAGGCTTGAGGGAGATACGAAAGGTCAAGTGGACGGAAATTGTACAGAAGGTATCAAACAAATCTTGCACTATCGGCCGTTGCACCGCTAGCGAACGCTCGTGATGGGTGGAAAGCGTCGTGAGTTGCTAGAGCGGGCTGAGGAACTCATCAAGAGTTACAACCCGAAGCGAACCACCTTGGAATCGCATGCGACGGAATTCCTTGCAGGGAACAAAACAGAAGCCGACGCTGCCTTTCTTAGG